AAAGATAAATTATGAATGAGGCCACCTTATGATGGCCATTTTGGAGAACCATGCCTGAACATTCATTAGTAGAAAAGAAACAAGAAGGCAGAGGAGGGAAGAATATGCAAGAGAGTAAAGCAATGGGAATCAATAATATATGCGCAAATGTATTGACCTGGTGAGACAGACTCAAGTTCTAGCATTAGAGTTATCTAAATGATATATAACCTCAAAAGCCATGTTGAATGATTTCATTATTAAAATGGAATATTCCACAGGATGTATTTACACTCAAATAGTGGCTCTTGGAGATTTTAACAATATAGTCATGCTCCTGTCCCATACTAGACCTACTAAATTAGAATCCTTTAGTGTAGGATAACTCCAAAGGATTCTGATGCTCACGTAAGTAAAGAACCCCCGCCAGAGTCACTTCATGGTAAAATGACCTACAGAACAACATACAAAGTATGTACCTATCCTTCAAGTATGCATTTACCTAAACCATCTTAGTATTTTCCTAAGTTAAAATTTCTCCCAAAATGTACCCCTCTGAGTTCCACCACAGAATTTCTCTAAAAGAATCTCTCACCCTTCGCTTTTCCTTTCCTAAGCATATGGCCCCTAGTCTGCTCAGAGATCATTTTCCCCACACTTTCTCACTAATTTTTCTTTAGAAGTCCGACATATCTCCAGCTGCCCTATTCTATCTTCTAACAACATTAATCCTACCCAACTAATATCTAACAATATCCTACAGAACAAAGGAACTATGAAAAAGTTCTGCTAATATGCTATAAAATAAGCCAAGATTTAAAAAAATGCTCTATTGCCTACTCTAATAAATATTCTAAGTACATTTATCAAATGAAATTCAATCATTTTTTATAAAACATTTCTTCCAAAAGCATAAAATCATGAACTGGGTCTATAAAAAGGCAATAAGCTAAGCTCCTTCAATTAAATCTTCACTTAGTGCTACTAAGTAGCTAACAAAGTACTGGGTTGTGTGAAGAATACAAAGTGTCTGAAAATCTCAGTGATTTATAAACAACTTTACCAGTATTGGAGTAGAAGAAAGGGGAATAGAGAAGATGAGGAGGGTAACTAAATACCACCCAAAAGGTATCTCTCTTTTTGGGGAAGAGGCCTGCTGTTTCAGTTTGTTTATGACTAACGCCAAAAACAAACCAATGCAAGTTAGTGGTCAAATAAGTTGTGTATTAACTTTTCACCCTCCCACAAACATCTCTATCAATTAACGCATATTTCCAGGCTTTTCTGTTTACCTTAATGCTCTTCAGAAATTTCAATCACATCAAATTTTGATTTCTGCTTCCACCAACAATGTGAGAACCCCTGTTAACCTGTTAACTTCTATCCTCTTCAAAAGTATTATCAAACATTTTTCATCTGTTAATTGGTGAAACAGTATCTTATAGTTTTTATTTATAATATTTGTAGGTATGAAGTTGAATACCTTTATGTATGCTTACAAAACACTTGCATTTCCTTTTCTGAGAATTACTCTGTTCATGATCTTTGCCCACTTGATGGTTAGTCTTTTCCTAACTGGTTGGTAGGTACTTTATATATTAATGACGTTAGACTCTTGTTTATCATACAAATTCAAATACTTCTACCAGTTCCTCTACTATCATCAAGCTATTTTTATTTTCTTTCCTTTTTGTATATATTTTGTCTTCCTCAATCAAACTGCAAATCATCCCCATGAAAGATACATTTCTTTTGTATATCTCCAGGAGAATGCTTTTTAGATACTTCAGATTTCAAGATCAAATTTAAAAAGAGGAGAGTTGGATATTTTGCAGCTGTTGAATAAGTGCAAACATGAATTATTACAGGGGCACCTACCTGGATTGTCTGTTTAACCCCATTACGTGTGGTTACAGCAAGTAAAACCAAGTTCTAATAATGAGATGCAGTTTATTGAACAGGGAAGAATTAGATGACCTTTCTCCAGTTTCCTAGGCACGTACCATGACAATTCAGAAGTTGCTGGTGGCCATATTTTCCACTAAGAGGACTAGGAAGTGGTCTTCTGCAGCCAGAGAAGGAATGAAGCAAATGCACAGAGAACAGAGAAAAGAAAAAAACGTGCCCTGCAGGCACTGGAGTCCTAGTCCTTGCATTCCACTGGACACTGGCTGCCTCTTAACAATAAATCCCCCTTACCTAAAACAGCAGGAATGGATTTCTATCACTTATGGCCAAAAGTGACCTGTTTACTATAACTATCATTTTATAAAGGGGCATTTTAACATCAAAACCTCAGGAAGAACCTCAGATTTTTTTTTAAAGGATGATTTATTTAATGACAGCTATGTGCCAGAACAGGTCTAAGTTCTTGAAAGATAATATTAATCAAAAGAGACAAGCTCAGCGGGGTGTGGTTGTTCGCTTAAGATTCCAGTGCTTTGAGGCACTGAGGCAAGAGAATCCCTTAATGTTAGGAGTTTGAGAGCAGCCTGGGCAATATAGTGAGACTCCATCTCTACAAAAAAAAAGTTTTTTTTTTTTTTTTAATTAGCTGGGCATGGTGGTTGTTTCCTGTAGTCCTACCTACCAGGAGACTGAGGTGGGAGGATCACTTGAGCCTAGGAGTTCCCAGGCTGCAGTGAGCTGTGATCACACCACTGCACTCCAGCCTGGGTGACAGAGTGAGATTCTATCTCAAAAACAAAAACAAAAAAAGAGACAAGATCAGTGATATCATGGGCTTATATTCTAGTGAGCATGCAGATTATAAAATAATACAAAAATATAGCATCAGATAGTGATAAATGGTTTGCAGATTTTTTTTTTCCTGAGACGTAGTTTCACTCTTGTTCCCCAGGCAATGGCATTATCTCGGCTCACTGCAACCTCTGCCTCCTGGGTTCAAGCAATTCTCCTGCCTCAGCCTCCTGAGTAGCTGGAATCACAGGCATGGGCCACCACGCCCAGTTAATTTTGTATTTTTAGTAGAGACGGGTTTTTCCATGCTGGTAAGGTTGGTCTCCAAATCCCAACCTCAGGTGATTCACCTGCCTTGGCCTCCCAAAGTGCTGGGATTACAGGCATGAAGAAATTTTTAAATAAAAAAGATAATGGGATAGAGGGAGATGAGCCTAGTGTCATTCTGGAAAGATGGTTAGGTAGTAATGCTTGTCTAAAAAGGTGATACTTGAACTACAACACGAAATGATGAAAAGGAGTCACTCATGTAATGACTTAGGAAAAGAGTTCCAGACAGAGTGAACGGAGTACAAAAGCCCTAAGTTAGGAGCAAGTCATGGCATTGATGAGGAACAAAATGAAGGGCAATGTAGACGAAATACAGTAAAAAGTAGAGGAAGAGGGTATAGAAATGATAGATTTAAGAGGAAAAGATGTAAACTAGCAAAGGATGGATTAGATCATGTACAAAACTAGCAAGCAGCAGAAAGGATTTTAAAATAACTTGAGCTTTATGAAATACTCATTATATTATCTTTAATTCTCATTTTGCCTTGGGTCAGTGGTAACTTTGACAGATAGGCCTTTAGAAACTTTCATTCCCAAGTCCTTAACATAGTCCTAAAGTTGGCCAGAAATGAATATATTCCTAAGCAGAAAGTATCTCTTCTAGTACACTATAGTTAAAAAAGAAAAAAAGAATTTTCAGATGAAAGCAATCATCTTAAAGGAAAGAAGGAAAATAACCTAGAATGAAGGAATAATAGAAACGACTTCAAATTTTGTTCTGTTCACTACTCTGTGAATAAATTTACCATATAAAGATTACAGAAAGGTCTTTGAATTAGTCTATCATAATTAAGGAAGGTCATAAAACTTAAGTTCTTTCTAAACTACCATAAATGTGACAGCCTGTTTACTGAGTTCATTATTATTGAACTGGACATTAACAAAGTTAAATACCATCAGAAAAGAAAAAGTAGAAACCAGCCTTCTGACTTTATTACCCCTGGTAAGAATGGTCACAGCTTAATGGTCAACAAAGTTGTGGGCTTTAATCTTATCTCTATGACTATGACAGAGGAAGAACTTCCCCTCTGTGGTGAAATGAACACTAAAATTAGGTACACGGGATGCTTCAATATCTTCTCCAAAAGCTTTTTATAAGAAGACACCAATTTGTTTAAAAGAGGTTTGGATATAGTTACACACCACGGAAGAGTGATGATCTTTCCAGATCCTTCCAAACGACTTATATCTGTGTACACTACGCAAGTAATTAAACCTACACTGCTTCTAAGATTAATGCAAGTCAAGTCAGATCTTTGAAAGCCATAATGTATTCAGGAATCTTATCTTTCATCATGTTAGATGTATACTTAGACCACAGTAGACTGTTAATAAGAGAGTCTATAAAGAATGATACTTTGTTACTATAAGGACACGTGCACACGAATGTTCATTGCAGCACTGTTTACAATAGCAAAGACCTGGAACCAACCCAAATGCTCATCGACGATAGACTGGATAGGGAAAATGTGGCACATATACACCATGGAATATTATGCAGCCATCAAAAACGATGAGTTAAGGTCCTTTGTAGGGACATGGATGAACCTGGAAACCATCATTCTCAGCAAACTGACAGGAGAGCAGAAGATCAAACACCGCATGTTCTCACTCATAGGCGGGTGTTGAACAATGAGAACACATGGACACAGGGAGGGGAGCACTACACACTGGGGTCAGTTGGGGGGAAATAGGGGAGGGAGGGTGGGGGGTGGGAAGCTGGGGAGAGATAGCAAGGGGAGAAATGCCAGATGTAGGTGATGGGGAGGAAGGCAGCAAATCACACTGCCATGTGTGTTCCTATGCAACAATTTTGCGTGTTCTTCACATGTACCCCCAAACCTAAAATGCAATAAAATAAATAAATGGGGGGGAAAAAAAAAAAAAAAAAGAATGATACTTTGTGAGCATGGTGTGTGTTAAAGAAAGAAAAGTCATTAAACACCTTGACTGAGCCTTGCTTCTGAGTGCATCCTCCTCAGCACACTTACCAGCAGTTTGGCAAAGTGCCCAGGATGATTAGCAGCCAAGGTATATGTAAAGGTGGAATATAGTTAAGCCCAATTGTAAAGTCTCCCCCCAGTGGTCAGATACAAGTAACAGAGAAGGAGGAAAACCATTGCAGCTTCTGTGAGACTCAACAGGAACACTAAACAAAACTGGTCCCTACAACAAAAAAATAAAATATTTAATGCAATAATGCCACCGTATCAGAGAATAGATCTCTCGTACTTATCTGCTCTTATATTTATAAATGTGAAGACCACTTTTCTAAAGAAAGAGCCTAGAGTTAAAACAAAACTAGCATAGTTTTTCTCAGCATAATTTTTACGGAATAACTGACATATTTCCAAACAGTTTAGTATTTATTTTATCAAATGGGTAAGTGTTCATTCTTCCTGAAATAAATATCAGCACATCGCTTACATGGTTAACTATACTTACCTGAAGTAGAGTTCTGATAAAAAAAAAAAATTTAGTCACTTATCAAATGAATCACTCTGGAAAGAAAAATTATTAACTATTATATACCTAATGAGAGATTTACAAGACACTCGTTTTCAAAAGTCACCTAGCAATAGGCAATTTATAGTAGAGTAAGCGATGTCAAAAGTATAAATGGATTCTCTTACGTCTTTTTATTTTCTTGCTGTCTTGTACAACTAGCCTTTGACCAGCACTAATCCTGTATGATTTGCAACTCTCAGCAATAATTTGCTGATGCTACTCAATTTTAACAAAGCTCAGATGTCAAAAATATGAAAGGCATTTAATTAAAACATCTGTTGTCTTCTGCTAATCCATTATTAAGTAGTAAAGTATGTAAAGGGATAGTAAATATTCAAACAAGCAACTTCAGCTTTAAAACAACTTTTTTAAAAGGTAACATAATCACAATTATGTCTTCTTGGTTATCTCAAGCTAAAAAGAGGGGAGTGGGAGAGAAACAAGCAGGCTATGTAGTTTTCTGGAACAATTTCAGCCTAAAATGAGACTGAGAAAGAAGCAAACTGCTCCCTCAAATGTATAAAAATGATTCATTTTTAAAATCCAACAGTTGGTCTAAAGAAAAAAAAAAAGATTCTGTCTTATATAGAGCTACTAGACTTGCTTAAGCACCTTCATTTTTCCAGTGTTGATTTTACCTAGAATGTAAAATAATTCATTTTCACATTCGAGATGGAAAAGAATTCGGTGGCATCAGTAAGAACACATACACACCTCTTCCATAAAGATGGTGTGCAGCCTTCATAGGACAAAACTGAGTAATTAAAAGTGTCACCATTTGTGTATTATGTAACCGTAGTCTAGAATATAAGAAACATGGACATTAAAGGGTAACATATCGTGTGAACACGTATATAAAGACCTATTTAAATAGATGATACATTAAAGGTACAAATGACCTCAAAATGACACAATCCACAAAAGTTCTTTGTTTACTGTTAATAAGGCCTCAAAAAGAACTATAATCAGGCCTACCACTCTGTCATCACTGCACAGTAGATGCCTGCAATAAGCAATATTACTTGAGGTCCACTGCTATATCTATATAAGGAAACTACCGCATTACTAACAATGTTACTTCGCCTGATATATTCGACCAACATAAGTTTATAAATGATTTGCAAGATTTCATGGAATGAAATGGCTGCTAAATCATACTTCAATTGAAGACCATTTTAACTCACCCCAAACGTTCTCAGCTACACTACAAGACCACTTGAAGCACAAAGTAAAATTCCAGCACTCTCCAAAGGCGCAGGAAAGAGTAAAATGTGGCTAGCCTGACCTTAACCGGCTGTTTATAAGCAATGCGGAGAATTTTCTGAGCTTCCCCGTTCAGTCTTCAGTTCTCTTCTTCGCTTCACCCCCCACCCCCTACACAGATTCCCACCCAGCTGATGGAAGTTTAACAAATGTAATCTCGAGCTGCAATCCCAGAAACCGGTAAGACTGAGAATAAACTCCCAATAAACTGTTAAAAAGTCCTTCTGCAAAAAAACATCTACCAACCAATCCACATCCCGTCACCACACGGTCAGATCCCTCAATCGACTCCCCTGCTGACCCTCCAGCCAGCCAAAAAAAAAAAAAAAAAAAAAAAAAAAAAAAAAAAAAACCGCCCCGACACCTATCCGGTTTCAGACGAATGTACCCAGGACCCGGGAGCACGACCTCCGCAGCAAACGCCCCCGGAGCAGCGTGTGCTCGGCCCACAGCCACTTTGGCCAAACAACTGGAGTCTTGTACCTCGGAAGTAGCGGCGGTAGTTGGAGAAAGCCTCCCCCACCCCCGCCAGGAACCCCGAGCTCGGGAAAGAACAGGGTGCCGGAGGAATCGCCCCCTCTCGGAACCGACCCCGGAGGTGTCAGTCACAGCAACACCGCCCCCATGCCGGTTCTCCATTCATGCTACACCACGACTCCCGCCGCAGAGGTGTCGGCGCCCGAGCCCCGCGCCCAGAGGGGCCCCGCGCGTCTGCTGCCCTAGCCCAAGCCGGGGCCGCGCCAGGGAGCGCGTGGGGAGCTGCGGCCAGCAGCACGGGGCAGACACGTTGCCGCGCTCCGGCCCGCCCCGCGGCCCGAGGGCCAGGAGCCCGGTCGAGCGCCCCTTCCGCGCGGGCTGGGCTGGGGGCGACGAACAGCCTCCCTGCCAGTGCCGCCTCCGGCTCCCGGGTCCCTTCCCCCCCGCCCGCCGAAGCCCAGGTGCCGAGGGGCGGGGCGGGCCAGGGTCCCCGCGTGGCGCGCCGCGGCGAGCAACAGGGCGCCCCCGGCCGGCCCGGCGCGCGGCGCGACCGTTACCAGAGCGGGGTGGGGGCCCCGACAACTCACCGGCTCGCACCTCAGCCGCCTCCGCGCCGCCGCCGCCGCTCCCGGTCGCTCCCCGCCGCCACTGCTCCCCCTCAGCCACAGGCACCGCCGAGCAGCCCCATCTGCAAACTCGGGGCTCGTAGTTGGGAATTGGAAATGCGTCTCTCACTGCCCTCCGTCTCCCTCTCCCTCGTCTCCCTCCCTCGCTCCCCACTCCGCCCCAGCTCCGGTCGCCCCCGCCGCTACCTCGGCGCACGCAGCCAGCCTCCCTTCAGCCGCCCTCCTCCTCCACCTCCAGCCGTCGCCGCCGCCCGCCGCCGGGGCGCGCTCCCTGCTGGCCTTGCGCGTGCGCCGGACGCCGCGGCTCGCGCGCTCGGGCGCGAGGAGGCGCCACCGCCTCCGGGAAGCCGGGCCCCGCCCCTCCCGCCGCGGCGCGGCGCCCAGGTGGAGCCCCCTCCCAGCCTCCGAGAGCCCCGCCTGACTGCGCTCTGGGCCCGGCCGCCTAGCTACGGGGCTCCCAGTACTGCGCCAGCCCGCTGGCCGCTACCGCGCCCGCGAGAGAGGGTTTGTCGGACCCAGTCCCCGCTGGGTCTCCCGAACCGAAATCGCCGCTGTCACTCAGCGTTTACCGCTGGGCAAGATACTCCGCGGGCATAAAAGAGGCCCCGCCCTGCCCTTTCTGAGAGTTTTACATTCAAGAACCCGGTCCTGAGGCACAAAAGAGAAATGGAACTGGAAGAAAAGCCTCTGGAAAAACTCCCCCTCCCCCTTCACACACACGCCTGATTCTGATGTGTATTTGGCAGGTTCTACGGCGCTGACTGTGTCCTTCATGAATTTTCTCCCAAAGGCCATACCGGGCAGTGTGATTCACACCCGAGGAGATGGATGAACGCTGACTCTTCAGAGCACCGAGGCTGCCGTAGAACTCCCGGGGCCGGCTTTGCTAGACACTCCCTGGACACAGTTGTTCAGCTCCTCCCCAGCATCTGGGCTTCCCAGACCTCGAAAGGGTGGGGTTGGGGAGGGCATGCCATCCTTTCAGCCTGGACTCTGTGTAGAGCCTGGTGAACTATGATGAGTGTCCGGGTGTGTAGATGACACATTTTGACAAGAGTGCAGATTTAATTTTTCACTTGAGAGGAACTGAGCAATGCACTGCAGCAGAGACTTCTGACAAGAAAAACACAGCAAGTCAGCCAGAGAACTTCCGATCCCCTTAAAAGACCTCTGTGAACCCTCAGACCCGTGACGGGAGGCTTTTGGAAAAACTGTGTTCTTCCTAAAATTGAATAATGTAATTTACATCTTACAAGATGCTTACTGCAGTCTTTTCAAACCATGATTGCAGAAAGTACAAGTCAAACTTCACATGTGAGGCGTGTATCAGGTGGCCTCCTCTGTGCAGCTTTTCCTGGCTTCTCGGACACCTTGCACAAACCAGACCATTGATAAATGTTTGCAGAATAAGCGCGTGTATCATGGCCCTTTGAATTCAGAGATGGAGTTATAATTTGTATTGTCTCCTTTCTTTGTGAATGTGGCAGGCATGGAAGGGAGAGAGAAAATACTATTGATGAGACGTATTAAGAAGGCCCAGTGTCCAAAACAGTGATTTTTGTCTTTATCCTCAACCAAGCATCAAAAATTAATTTCCTTTTCCATTAGGATCATTAATTTTGCAAACCAACATTCAGGGGGGCCTTGTACAGTGTTAATTTAGAACCTTCTTTCCTGGAACAGCAAACCCAAGCAAAGGTAATTGGAAGCATTTAAGGAGACTCAAACGTGCCAGAGCACAGAGTAGCTTTGGATCTCCTGTAGTCAGGCTGGCTGGATGAAATGAAGCAGAGTGGGCTCAGAGCCCAAGGCAGAGACAAAGTGGAAGGATGAGGTTTGTCTTCTCAAGGTGTCAGCAAGACCTTTCAGGTCTTTCTTGCTGCCCCAAGCTCACTTGCTTCCCACAGGACACCCATGGGTCCTCCCTGCTGTGCCCTACCCAGGCTTGTGAACTAGGTATTCTCCCTTCTGACCCCTACCTTACCACATCCCGGTGGACCGAGCTACTTACTTACCCTAAGCTCCTGAGGTTGGTGTGGGAGGTGGGGTCTGAATGTCATTTCCAGATGTGTAACTGATTCCAACAGGGCACTTTAATTTTCTCAGGCGTCTTCTGGAAACGTCCTTACCTACTCTACCCCTGGTCCCTGCAAGTAAAAAGATGTTGACTGAGGAAGTTTTAGGAAGGAAGTGTTAGGGGAGGCTCTGCCCCTCAAATTACATGCAGACCTACCTGACTTATAGCTGGTTACCACTCCTGGCCAACTGCCTTATCTCTTCATCTACCAGAGACCCAGCATTTGGGAGCAGGAATACAGGAACAATTATCTTTCATTTGCAGTTCCAAATCTGTTCTCTAAGTAATGACAGCAGCTATCAGGTAGAGGTTATCACTGCTGTAAGACTCAGGTTCATCCTTAGAGTCAGAAAAAATGATTCTGTTCCAATAACTATCTTCGATTGCTTCCCTTCAGGAAGCTCTTGCCAGTGAAGTTCCTCTCTCAGTGTCTATATTTTATCAAATATGCATATACAGTTATATTAGGAAGCACTACTTCCTTTATAAATAATACTACTTTATAACATTCTTCCCTTCCTCTAAACTTTAAAGGTGGACATGCTAGGATAAATTTAAAGTGTTCTCAACAAAGCATTGGAACTCCCATCATTGCTTCCCAGCTCAGCTTTCTGAGAGGTCATTGTACTGAGATACCACCATCCATTTCCCATACCTGTTACAAATTCTTCATTCCAAGAAAGGGGAATGATATGATTGAGAATGATGGTGGGTCTTTCTCTTCCGTGTCCTTAATAGTCTGACTTTTCATTTCCTTCAAGGTTACTCTAAAAGGATCATAATTTTACCACAGCCCGGTATCTCCTAACAGTAATTCAATTTAAAATCTGAATTTTGATTCTTAATTCAGGAGCACCCCTCATCAATTTTGTTTCCTCCTTTAAATATAAACAACATATACTTTTAACATGTTACATTTTCTTTTCTGGCCTGCTTTGCTCCTACAGAAATTGGGAATTTTCCTAATAGTAAAAGCCCCAAATTTTAGCAAAAGCAAGTCCTGTGTGCTTGTTTTTCAACTAATCCATCATAGTAAAAGCAGTGACACTCCTGGAGGATAGCTTTATTTAAAAATGCAACTGGCATGCATCACCAAGTGCAACGAAGTTTTCCTTCAGAATACTTTATTTAGCTTCATCCCTTTTATCTCTGCCCACAAAGCTAGGTCAGATCCCAATTTCCAGCCTTCTTGCTAACCTTTCTAATTCTAGCCTCTCTCTTGTTTCCTTGCAATTTATCCTATACTCAAAGCAGTGCTTCTTAATTTTTGGCTCTTTGTTGGAATCATCCAGAGAACTTTAAGAAACAAAGCACTGATGCTTTGGTGCCACCCCAGACTTAATTGCCCTGGAGCACAGCCTGGGCGCCAGGATTTTTCAGAGCCCTCCAGGTAACTCTAATATGCAGCCAGGATTATGAGCTATGGAAACAAATCATCTTCCCAACAACATTTATAACGAGTCTTCTCAAAACGCTGGGGTAGCTCCAAACTACCTCGAGTAATCAAATTAAAATTCCTAATCCTGTGCTTTAAGACTCTTTGCCAATTGACTAGAATAGTCCCCTTTCAAAACAGCTTAAATTTATCTCCTTCCTAAAGCTTCTCCAGATTAGTCTCACCTGGCTGCCTGAAGATCACTGTTCCCAGCTCTGAGCATCCTGACTGGCATTGGTTTACAAACCCTTGGACCCCAGTCGATTGTGTACATTATTGTTTTAATCTTGCTTTCACAGATATCTGTCAGAGGCTTTTCTTGTAATCTGAATCTCTCCAAAAGTTCCACTGGGTCAACAATCTCAAACAGAAATGTCTTAGCAGAACTTTCTCTTCTAAACTGGCTGTCTGAAAGATCATTTCCTGATACAATGGCAGTTCTTTTTTTTTTTTTTTTTAATCACAATTAAAGCCAAGAATTGTAGGAACTTGAATTTTGGTGGTGGTTTGGTTTTTCCTTAAAAAAGAAAACTATATGAAGTGGAAATTTGTCAAAAAAATAAAAAAGAAAAAGAAAAGTATATATCTCAGCATATCTCCTTTTCTTACCATTATTAGTTTATCTTAGGCATCGGAATTGGGCTTCTACACTCATTTGTCTACTGAAA